AACTACCTTATGATCTTCAAGAAGCATCTTCAAGAATATGCTTTTTATTATTTCTAATATTTTCAATTTGTAAGATTTGTTTTATGGCCCAGAATACCATCTATCTTGGTAAATATTTTATGCACACTTGAGAGGAATGTTTATTCTGCTATAATTGGATGCAATCTTTATTTGTTTGTTTGTTTAAAATTTTAATCAGGTAATCTATCTTTCCTTGTTTCGTGCTTACTTTTTCTCTGAAATACTGAGAAACAATTCAGAGAGTTTTGACAAATACATAGTCCCATGAAACTATAACCACAGTGAAGGTGCAAAATATATTCATTATCCCCAAAAGTTTCTTCCTGTGCTTTTGCAGTAAAACCGTTCCTTCAGTAGAAGTGACTTGAGGTGAGCAGAAGTAAGCATCTGCCAACCATGAGCACTTTCCCTATTAACAAAGGCAGGTGGGCACAGAAAGTGGCAGTTGCTTTCACACACAGGCAGCATCGAGGAAGAAAATCAGATCAATAGTGTCATAGAAGGCCAGCTTGCTCACCTGGTCATAGGCTGTCCCTCCCTTTCTTGTGCAAGGCCTGCCCCCAAGTATGGCTCTACTTTCCTGGCCTCCTTAACTCAGATGAGTGACTCATACCACCTCACCATCTCCCCTACATCCCCCACAGACTGGATTAAGGGCCTTGTCACATTGTTTTGTTACCTCATATTTCCTCAGCATGTATTCAATAAATTTGCTGGATGAATGAATGAATGAATGAATGAATGAATGAATGACTGTATGAATGAAATTATCAGGCATGGGAATTCGCTGATTCAAAGTGTGGAACCGGCCCCTGTGTGGGCCTCCTGCCTTCATAAAGAAACCCACAGTTCCCTTACCTGTGCTCACTTCAGTTCAGAATTCTTGTGGAAAATACCATGACAGGGTCACTGCAGATGACTTCTCCTCAGGCCCAAACAGTGTCTTGGAGGTGAGGATGCTCCCAGCAGGACGGTGCATGATGCTTTTTGCATTGGACCCCACATGTTCTGTCAGTTTAACAATGAAGGCTGCAATCTCCACAGGGTTTCCATCCAACTTGCCCATGTCCACACCTTTGGCCAGCCCTCTACCCCAGACAGTGTCTGGTGGCAACACGGGCCAGTGATTACACCCCAAGACACCTGTCCCCTTGTGTGCCAAGAGCTCAGAAGACACAGGAGGCCATATGAGTCAGGGATACCAGCTGGATTATTTTCAAGGCATGTCCACACAAACCCTTCATCTGCAGAGTCTGAGCTGATTAGTCCCAGGGCACTCTTCCTCCAATTTCCCCTCCATGCAGCCCCACTACCACCTTCCACTGATCATTGGCATTCCTGGTGAGTCTCAGCTGTTGATCATCAGTCAGCAACCCACACACATAGCCCAACCTCTATGGAGAGTCCCCAGGGGATAATTCACCAGCCCCAGTAGGCATAAAGACAGGTCCCAGCCCTGGGATGCTGGCAAGGGTGCACAGGGCCACTGGAGTTGTCAAGAGAAGTAGCTCGCCCAGAATGATGCAGGGAGCCAGCCATATTCTTCCTGACAGAGGGAGGGGAATCTTGAAAGAGCATAAGGTGTCCAACATGCCGCTAATGCCTTCAGCCAACAGTCCTGCCCATTAAGATCACAGAGCCACATCCTGTTGACGATGATGGTGTCCAGATTTCCCAAGTCTATCCCTGTTTGTTGCCCTGTCCTCCTTCGCCACTTCCCACTTCTCTCCCTCAGGTCTCTGCCCCCACGGGGCTGAAATCTGGATTCAGAGCTGAGTGGCAGCCTGCCTGGGGCTCTGTGGACTTGATTTCACATGTGGTCTCTCTCATGGACTCTGGTAATTGCTCTTCCCTGCATCCTCCTAACGCCCCTTGCCAGCCGAGGATGTCCTGTCTGCTCTCCTTCCCTGGCTCCTGACCAAATCCTTTGAAAGCAGAGGAGAAGATGAATGGCCCTTTCAACGTAAATTTCTACATAAATTTGGCTTTGGGCACTGATATTTAGACATCCGCTATAAGAGAGATTTCCCGGAATGGGGCAGAACACTCAGAGTACTTCTGCAGGGTGTAGGCACGCTCCGTGTCACAGGGAGAACAGGCGATTCTGGGCTTCTCTACTGTGTTCTGGGCACAGCCTTTAGCAGAGACCACAGTGACAAGCTATGCAGCAGGCCAGGTTCCAGATTTTCACAGGAGGGAACACTGGGGACAACCAAGGAAAGGGTGCTGTAATGTGGGGAAGTGCTGGCTCTGAACAGAAGTGCCAGCTCCTGGGTAGAGTCAGCTCTCAAGGAACCCTGGGGATTGACACAGGAGGTCCCTGGATTAATAAGGTCCACAGGCCGCCCTGAAATGGTGTTTGATTCTCATTGTCACTTTCTCTAGGCCTACTACTGATACTTTGGACTCAGAGTTCCTATTTTTGTCACCTGAAAGATATAGTACAGTGCTGAGAAGAGAAATGAAGTATTATTCAGGAGGTCGGCCTCAAGCTGGGAGGAGTGGGAACAGCATGGGATCTACAGAAATTCAGACCAGCAGTCTGGTTTCAGCCCTGTTACTTACTAGCCATGTGATTCTGGGAAATGCCCAAGCCCTGTGAGCCTTGGGTTCTTTATCTGTGAAGCAGGTGTGATAAGCCCTGTCCAATAGGACTACTGGTGTATGAGCAATATAAGTGAAGCACCTGGCTTAGGGCCTGGCATATTTAGAAGTTTAATGAATGGCAGATGGCTGTTATTTCTAATATTATTTGACCTCAAATCCCACCACAGTCTACTCAGCATTTTTTGTTGTCATTATTATCCAGTACATCTCAGAATATGCAGCTCAATGGGACATGGAATCCCAAATCAGTCACAAATGTTGCTTCATAAATAAAACTCTGTAAATTTTCCCTCTTAAGAGGATGTATTTTCAAAATTTCATGTGCAGGAGTTTCTCCCTGCTGGATGCTGCTCAAAGCTCATGGAATATGAGTCAAGTATCAACTCCTTCCCTCTCTCCAAGGTTCTTTTCCATCCAAATCATGATTTTCATTCATTTCGTCACCAAATTCTAGCCCTTGCTTAGTGTTGTACAAATTACATAAAAAATGACCCAATTAAAATGTTTCTCTAATGGAGTCAGCTAACTTCTAGGCATCAATTCATAGGCTTATTTATTATGAGATCCTTATCTCTCAGGAGACCCTTGCATAAGATGAGCATCTATCACCTAGTTATTGTGCTATGTTCAACTGCACTGAGACAAGAGTGCAGAACACCTTCCATTCCTGCCCCAGGTGGACTCTTCTCTGTTCATCCACCACCCAAAAGGAACTGCTTAGAGCAGTTTTACATCCCAGGATTTTCTCTCTCAACTATGTGAGGCTCTGACCCTGGCACCACCCAGCTTCTTTGGATTCATCTTCACCAGAAGGAACTGCAGTTTCTCAAAGCCCCAAAAGTCCTGGCTCAGGAGATGTACGTGACCACTGTCACCTACAGCCCAATATTCTCATCCCTGTCTTACTTTTCCTCTAGGTCTTAGAGGATATCTCACCACCTTATTACTTGACTGCAGCCCCTAGACTCTACCACCCTATGGGTAAAGGTGGTTCTGACTTAACATTTCCACTACAGACCCAGGGCCTTCCAAAGACCAGATGCTCAGTGGATGTTTGGGGAAAAAAATGAACCAGTGAGCAAAGGTTTCATTTATTACAGTTTAATTTCGACTTAACAAAGATCCAGGGATATAACTTCTAACTTTGCAGGACGATAAAATAAAAATAATAAACAAATAAAAATACTAACACTTAACATTATTTTCTCTATTTTACTATTTTTTATATGTCCAAGAAAATTACTATTCTAGTTCCATGTTATTTTATTACAGATTACAAATAAGATCGAAGGGTTCCCAATTTGTTTTACAGAATAGCAAAACTCTTTCTTAAACTGGATAAACAGAAATAAATGTGTGACCTTAGATTCTGAAGCTCATAAACTCTCTAGTAAAAGTAACAACATTTTAAAATACCAAGAAGAGGCTGGGTGCAGTGGCTTACACCTGTTATCCCAGCATTTTGGGAGGCTGAGGCGGGCGAATTACCTGAGGTCAGGAGTTCGAGACCAGCCTGGCCAACATGGTGAAACCTCATCTCTACTAAAAAATAAAAAAAGTAGCCAGGTATGGTGGCACGCACCTGTAATCCCAGCTACTCAGGAGACTGAGGCAGGAGAATCGCTTGAACCCAGGACCCAGGAGGCGGAAGTTGCAGTGAGCTTAGACTGCCCGGGCACTCCTGCCGGGGCAATAGAGTGAGACTCTGTTAAAAAAAAAAAAAAGAAAAAAAAGAAGGAGAAGGAGAGAGAAGAGAGAAGAGAAGAGAAGAGAAGAGAAGAGAAGAGAAGAGAAGAGAAGAGAAGAGAAGGGAAGAGAGAAGAGAAGGAGGAAGAGGAAGCGGAAGAAGAAGAAATACCAAGAAGAAAAGAAAAGAAGTTCTCAAGTTATCCAAAGAGAACAGTAAGACAAAGACGTTATGCACTGTATTTTCCTCAGCCTCAGCCTGGCCCTCCACTACATACTTCATTGATTTCTCTTTTCATTTGTTTTCGTAAATTAAAAAAAAACAAAAACAAAAAACTGACATGCAATTGTAGATATTTATGAGGTAAAATTTGATGTTCTGATTCATGTATATGTAGTATAATGATCAAATCAGGTAGTGTATCCATCACCTCATGCGTTTATCACTTCTTTGTGGTGACAATATTGAAAAGCCTTCCTTTTAGCTATTTTGTAATATACAATATCTTAATGTTAACTATAGTCATCCTACTGCACAACAGAACACTAGAATTTATTCCTCCTGTTTAAATGTAATTTTCCATGTTGGCTAACTGCTTCCAAGCCCCTCTTCTCCTTCCTCTCCCCAATCTCTGGTAACTACTGTTCTACTCTCTACTTCCACGATATCAACTTTTTTTTTTTTTATTCCACATATGAGTGAGATCATGTGGTATTTGACGTGCCTTTTAAAACACAGTGAAGAATCTGTCTTACTTTATTCAGGGTAGGAGAAGCTGCCTGTAGTACTAGAACTTGCACTGGCCATGGCAGTAGTATCATCTGTGGTGGCAATTCTAGCCTGGGCTCTCTCTTCCTCATCTTTCAAAGCCTCCTCATACCACAGTGGGAAGGATCTGGGATCACTCCCATTTACCTTGGCCAAAAATTTCAGGAGACTCATCTTCCTAATTTCAGCATGGGCCCTTGGACCCCACAGGAACTCATACCGTGCAGGATCACTGCCAGGCACCTGCCGGTATTCCAGGTAGTTTTCCTGCACCCAATCTTGGGTGAGCAGCTTCCTGGGCTCCCCATAAATGAAGTGCTCCATCCCATCATACAGTCCCATCATATTCAGTGCTTCCCAGATGACCTCCTCAGGGGTGCAGTAGCCCTCTATGAAGATTATGCTTAGGATAAGTATGAGAATGCCAGTCTTGGGCATGCTCTGGACATCACTCAGCATCCCATCATAGGTGAGGCCCAGGGAGGTGACAAGGACAAAGGAGTGGCCAGTGGGGTCCAATTCCTTTACATCAATGCCAAAGACCAGCAGCATGCACTCGGAGGCTTCACTGAACACCACGGGGAAGTGTTCTTCATAATTTTTTATGACACTCTCCAGTATTTCTGCCTTTGTGATCGGCTCCTTCGTTTGATACTTGGAGAGCAGGAACTCCACCAAATCAGTCACCTTTTCATCTATCTCACTTCTGGGTAAAGACTCATTGTCTGGCAGGGCCTGTAGGGTGCTTGGACTCTCCTCCTTTTGGCTGCCGAAGCCCTCATCAGATTGGTCTAATGGAAGGGAGGCAATGACTGAGGGAGAGGAGCAGGCTATCTGAGCACTCTGGGGAGGATTTGGTGTCCCTTCATCAGCAGAAACCTCTTCTGGGGTGCTTGGTATTAGAGGATAGCAGGAGGAGGAGGAGGAGGAAGAGGAGGAGGAGGGAAAAGAGGATGGAAAAGAGGAGCTGGTGGAAGTGGATGATGAAGCATCCTCCTCCACAGCTGGGGGAGCCTGTGCACCCTCGAGGCCCTGTGTCTCACTTTGGGATTGAAGGTCTTCTTCAGGCATGCAGCGCTGACGCTTTGGAGCTCGAGGCATGATGACTCTGATCAGGGTAGCAGGTGGGAGAGTGGGCAGGAGTTGAGCGATGGGGACCCACAGGCCTGGGGAGAGAGGGAGGGTGTAAGTGGCCACAGCTGAGAACCACACTCTGGAGGTTCTAACAAAGGCCAACTTACAGGTCTTCTCTTTCAGTGCTGCTCTGTGGTGTCCCACAGCTCTTGACCTCTTGGTCTCCCTGTCCCCTGATAACCTGAGGAAGGAAGTGAGAGATGGCTCCCTCAGGATGCAGCCAGCAGAGGCCAAGGCTCCAGGACTGACAGTAGGGTAGCTGGAGTTGATGCAGTGGGGTCCACTTTGTCCTGGAGCAGGTGGGGCCCTTGGTACACATTCAGGGCATGCACCTCACCTTGACTCCTGGCACTGTCTGGGCCCTCTCTGCTCTGTGACCTGAAAACACCGCCTTAGACCAAGGCCTCACCTCACAGTCTCTGGAGCTCCTGGAAGAGGAACTGAGGGACCCTCAGAGTTCAGGCTGCAAGCACAGCCCCAGCCTCCCAGTGTTGTCAGGAGGGCGGGCTGGACTCTGTGAGTTCCACACTACTCTGGGGTGGGTAGTCCCCTCTGTGCTCACACAGGGGCTCTCACCTTTCTCCTGGAGAAGCCTGGACCCTGCCCCTTTGCTGGTCTAAGAAACTCTCAGATCAAAAGTTTACATCCTAATACAAAATAGAAGACATGAGGGGACCCACATCTGGTCACAACTGCGGAGGTCCTCCCAGAAAAGACAGCAAAAGGTGGCCATATTCAGCTGGGTCCATGTGTCCTGGGGTTAGGAGCCTGCTTGGTCTTCATCTTGATGCCTGATAGGACCTGGGACCCTCCCTTTGTGGACCTGAGGCCACTTCCTTAAACCAAGGCCCTATCTCCAGGAGACATGGAAAGAGGAAGTGAGGGGAGTCCATCTACCCACAGTTCCCTATGAATTCCCGTGGCTGACGGAGGGGCAGGGTGGGGCTGAATCCTGTGCGTTTGGAGAATGGTGTCCCCTCAGTACTCACCTTGACTCCTGGCAGGGTCTGGGACCCTCCCTCTGCTGACCCGAGTGCAGCTCCCTTAGACCAACACCTCCCCCTCCCAGAGACCAGTGATCCTTGTATAAGACAGGGTGCCTCAGCAGACTGCCCTGACTAGGTTCTCCAGAGTGACAGTAGGGTCATGGCAGATTTCTGTGGGGCCCCTATCTGTGTTATGGGCTGGGGATATCCTCAAATTTCCCTCAGGTTCCTTACCTGGACTCTTGTCAGATCCTGCGACTCACTGTGTCTGTAGAAAAGAGGGGCTCCCTGTGTTGACTTCAGTCACCCTCTGAGAGCAAGGTTCTCACCTCCCTGAGATTCCAAAACAAAAATAAGAAGGAGCCACATCCTGTCACCCCTGTGGGGTGTCCAGGGCGGATATCTCCCCTTTACACCAAGACTCCATTTCCCTGAGGGTTCCTCAACTTCCTGCCTGTGGCAAAATTGAGCTTGCCACTTAGTGTCAATCCTGATCAGGTCCCCTCAGAGCTAAGAATAGGGGACAGCCAGACTCTGTGGCATCCCTTCTTTCTGGGCTGCAGGTACCTCCAGTCCTCACTAAGGGGCACACCTTGGGTCCTGCAGATTCTGGAACTCCTCCTTCTGTTGACCAAGTGTGGAACCTTGTGATAACTTCTCAGCAACCCTCAGACCAAGGTCCTCATCACCCTGAGACCCGGGAGGCAGAAATGGAGGAGGGGCACCACACGTTGACACCTGCATGGGATTCCCAAAGCTGACAGAAGGAGGAGATTTGGCGGGGGGGAGAGGAGAGGGGAGGGGGATGGGATGGAGACTTTCTTTATTTGGGTGTCCTCCCAAATAAATTCAGATTTACTCCCGACAGGGCCCAGCCCTTTCCCTCCTGCTGAACCGTGTATGAGTCTTGTACGCCAAGGCTACCATCTCCCTGGGATCCCCGGTGAGAAAGTGGGGGCCACTTCCCTTCCTCAGAGTCCTGCCTGAGGTTCCAGAGCTGATAGGAGGGACAGATTTCCTAGTTCTGAGATGCGGGGATCTGCTGAGTTCTCCCTCAGGGCTCTGGGACTCCTCCCTCTGATGACCTGAGGCTTCATTCCTCAGACTGTAGCCCTCTCCTCATTGACACCCCAAAGGCACAGCAAAGACACATCACATGGGCCACCGTGCTTGAAACCGCCCAGGGCTGAGGTCCCCACTGATCTGGACTCCAAGGTCCCTTGAGTCCTCTCTCTTCTTCCTCCCCTTGGCTCTTGGCAGGGTTGCTCTCCTCTACCCCGCCCCCCCGCCGCTGACCTGAGTCACCATCCCTTGGATTCCTGAGGCCAAGTGAGGAGGCATCTCAGTCTGAGACAGGGGTGGGGTGGGCACGCTGTCCTGGGATCCCTTCATGACTCCCTCATTTCCCAGCAGGGTCTGGGCCCACCCTCTGCTCCCCTGAAGCCACATTCTTGGTACCAATATCCCTTTCCCTCCGTCAGCCCCAGATACCGACGTCAGAATTTGCATTCCTGGTCGCCATGACCGGGGCTTCCCAGGGCTGATATCAGGGGCAGAGCCCTCTCTAAGCGTCCTGACTTTGATGCTGGCAGAACCTAGGGGTGGCTCCCAGCCCTGCCCTGGTCACACCAAGCTCTGACTCCCAGAGTCCCCTGCGGCTTAAGCGGCGAGAGAGAGTGGGGGCGGGGGTGGGGAGTGACAACCCAGCCTGAGAAGTCTGCCCTCAGGTGGTCCAGAGCTCGCAGCAGAGGCGGCGCTGAATTATTTAGGGCTTTCTCTCTGGGTTGGGGGCGTCCTCAGTCCTCCCTCAGCCTCTCACCTTGCCTCCTCACAGAGCCCGGGCCCGCTCTCTTCAGCCGATCTCAAGCCTGTCCCTCAGAACGAGAACCTCGCTTCTCTCTGATCCCTGAGGCGTAAGTTAGTGGCGTCACATCCGGCCCCTGGGGCTTCCCTGGGTTGACAGCAGGGGCAGAGTGGATTCTACCGGAGTTGGGGTGGGAGTGGGGGTGGGAGTCCGGGTGGGGTGGGGAGGGGGTGATAATGGGGTTGGGGCAGGGTTGGTGGTGAAGATGAGTGTGGGGAGGGGCGTGGAGGTGGGGACTGGGATGGGGATCGTGGGACTGTGGGTCGTGGTGGGGGTGTGGATGGGGTTTTTCAGTCTCGACTTTGGTGCCTGGAAAAGCCTGGACCCCTGTTTTGTGCTGAGGATGTCTGACCCCCTTACACCGTGTCTCTTGACTCAGAGTCTTCCTAGGTGACAGTGAGGGGAGGGTTGTGTTCGGGGTGACAATATTGCCAGGGTCTTCCAGGGCTGACAGGAGAGGCTTGCTGGATTCTGTGGCCCCTTTGTGTGGGGTAGGTGGACCCTCGGTCCTCACTCAGGAGGGTCTTCCTCCTGGCTCTTGTCTCTTTGATGAAGTGATGGGTGGGAGAGGCTCTGTTTCTGTCACCTCTGATCATTTGCCCAGCTGCACCCCTTGCAAAGCATGGGTGGGGGTCCCAGGCCAGATGGTCACTGGGGAGCTGCAACACCCGTGATTGTAATGACCTCTGGGAGAAGACACACACCTTCCTCAGGGGGCTCTTCCCAAGCCAGAAGTAGACTTGGCAAACTTTTTGTCCTAAAGGGTATATTTTCTACAAGAAAAAGGCTGAGCATGGGGGTGTGGGGAGGTCCTGCTGTTTTGAGTTTAGCTGACATTTTATAGTCCAATGCAGTGATGTCTGGCTTTTTAACCCTCATTCCTAGTAAAAATATATATTTTAAATATCTGCCAAGTGTATTTATATATATATATATGAAATGTATATATACACATATATATAAATTTACATATATATATAAAACGTTTCATGAAAGAATACCTACCTTATTCTATGTGGTTCACTGTTTATTCTATTTCTAGTCCATTCTTTATATTCCAATAATTTCTCAAAAAGACCAGTCATCACTAAGGTGGCTTCAGGTGGTTAGCAGAACAGACTCCAGAGTCATATTCCCTCAATCAACCCCATCTTTCCTGCTGTCCTGATATCACTCCAGAGCTACGGCATCGTGGTGTGAAGTGCTGCCTCAGATTGTGCAATAAAGCAGGGCCAGAAGTTAAAATATTTCCTCCTATTCATCCTCTTATTTGCCATCTATGCAGGCTACAGACCTCCTCAAATGCACTGTTGTCCTCCCCTCCCCCTACTCCAAACACAAGGTCCAGTTCAACATTCTGCAGTCTCCTTAGGATTCTATCATGTTTTGCTGTGTAGAATTTGTTGAGTGTTGATAATGGTTTTTCCCTTCTCCCCTCCAGGATTGATTCTGGAGTGTAAGTCAGCAATATGAACTTGATGCTCATTTTGGACTAAAGGTAAGGCACTAATTCTGTAAATAATTTAAGGAAAATTCACACCTTTAAAATATTCTGTTCTCCATTAATAGATATGGTATAATGCTTTATTTATTTGGGACTTCTTCCACCTGAATCTATCAGCAAACTTTTACAGTTGCCTCCATTAAGATCCTGCTCATTTTTGTTAGGATTATTTTTAAGGTAATTTTAGGAGTTTTTTGCTGTTTTTAATGGGATATTTTCTACTGTATGTTCTATTTATTTACTATTTTTGTATGACCAGTGTCTTGATTTTGCTATAATGAGCTTCCATAAAACATTTTTCTTCTGAAGCCTTTTATTCATTTAAATATTTCACATGCCTATTCCTTTGAATATTCTTAAAAGATAACATTGCCTCCAAATATCTCTTTTCAAAATTCATGTATCTTATTTATTTTGATACCCATAGCTCTGGCTATGTGTTTCAGTGCAGTTTTGAACAATAGAGAAGATAGCGTACATTTTTGTCTTGTTCCTGGCTTTCATGGAAATTTTTGTAACATTTCGCATTTAAGTGTGTTTGCTATAGATTTTAAATAACGCAAGTTCTATTCTAGTGTTAGTTTACTTTTTTCTTTACTTTTTTTTTTAACCATTATCTTGTGTTAAACTTCTTTGAAATGCTTTTTATGTAGCCATTGACATAATCAAGTGTTTTTTCTCCTCTAATTTGTTTACGGGGAATTACCATTAAAAGCATTTTCTAATGTTAAATCATAATTTTTATTCCTTGGACAGAGCTTGTTTGTTCAGTTAATATACTGCTATGTTGAATGTGCTATTAAATTATTTAGAATATTTGCTGCTATGTGAGAGAGCTTGGCTCAAGCATTCTTTTCACTGGTTGTTCTCATCTGGTATTTGAATCAAAGAGTGCTGGCCTGGCAAAACGATTTGAATAATTACCTATCTTTTTGTATGCTTTGGAAGAGTTTACATAAGATGGTAATTTGTTTCTCCATGATCATTTGGTATAACTGGCCTCCCCAACTGCCTTATTCTGGAACATTTGGCAGTGGCTTGAGTTTTGAATACTGTACAGTTTCAGTTTGTATTGTTTGATTAAACCTGTAAGTGATCAATTTCACTTAGGATTTCAAATTTAATGGCATGATATTTACAATAAAAAGCTTTTACTATAGATATTCTCAACATACACAACATTAAAGAGAATAATATAATGAACCAATGTACCAGACTCTTAGCATCAACAATTTTCAATACATTGTCCAATCTGGTTCTAATTTTACTCTTACCTACTTCCATCTCTTGCTACTGTAATGATTTGAGGCATATCCCAGACGTTGTGTCATTTTGTTTCTAATTATTTCATATGCTTTTATAAAAGATAAGAACTCTTTTGTGAAACATGAATCCAGTGTAAATGTATTTCCTAACAATTTAAATGAGTAATCATCAAATGCCCAGATAATGTCCATATTTACCTAGCAGACACATACTTTAAAAATTAGTTTCTTTGAATCAGTGTTCAAATATGATCTAATCATTGTAATTGTTGAATATGTCGCTTAGTGCTTTTTAATCTATAATTTCTCCAACTATTAATCTTTTTTCCTTGCATCTTAAAACAAGACAAAACAAAAAAACAAAAGAAATAAACAGGTCTTGTGTTTTGTCTAGTTTCCCGTAGTATGGATTTTGCTGAATGCAGCACTTGTGATGTCCCTTAAGAAGTTTTTCAGACCTTACTTTCTGACACTACGAAATGCTCCAGGCTCATTTTATATACAGTTTTCCCTCAGTATCCCTGGGGGATTGGTTTCAGGAACTTCCATAGTATCAGAACATCTCATGTACCCCATAAAAATATACACTTACTTTGTACTCAAAAAACTTTTTTTAAAAGGACCTCCCATGAACACCAAAATTTGTAGATGCTTAATCTCTTATACAAAATGGTATAATATTTGCATATAACCTGTGCACATCCTTTAATATACTTTAAATTATCTCTAGATTACTTATAATGCCTAATATGATGTAAATGCAATGTAAAATAGTTGTTACTCTATTGTTTAGGGCATAAGGACAAGAAAATAAAAGTCTGTACATGTTATGAACAGATCCAGTTTTTTGGCATATTTTTGATCTTCGGATTTTTAAATCCATGGATGTGGAATCCACAGAGCAACTGTATTTCATGCCCCAGTCTCAGAATCAGTCATTTCTCCAAGGAGCCCTAATTATTTTTACTAGTTGATGGTTTTAGAAACTCACATCTTAGTGCTAGGTGTGCTTGCTGCTACTGGGGAAGTTGTTACTTATAGGCTTTCTCAGTTCACAGAGCAATGAAATATATATGTATATCTACACACACTTATAAATATTTGCATATGTAACCATCTGTGACTATATTAAACTGAACATGACTTTATGCTGATGTCTCCAACTCTAATCCATTACAACAAAGATTATTCTAACCTCCTCCCCTTGCTTACCTGTAACTTCCCATTCCAACAATGAGAAACTCATCTCCTGTCATCTGTCAGTTCATTCAGTTAATTGTTCAATTCCAATATACATGTATACTGTTTTCAGAATTATTAATCTGGACTCCCGTGGGAAACAACTTTCCTAACTATAGTACAGCACTTACATACAGTTCCTTTTGATCTTAGCTTTACAAGATTCATTTCCAAGTTACTTAAGGCAGCAAATTCCTGTCATGCCCTTCAGTGAGATTGTTTCATACATTTTTTTCATGTTTCAGACATTTTTAATACAGTTAGAATGCTTTGCTGTATTCTACATTTCATCTTGGAATTTTTTGATCTCTTAAATTATTTCCTTAATTTTCATACATCAAGATTCACTCTTTGTGCTATAAAGTTTTGTGATTTTTGACACATACTATCATGTATGAACTATTGCAGTATCATAAAAATAATTTCACTGCCCTAATGAATCTCCCGTGCTTAACCTTTTTAGACTTTTCTACACATGTTTATTGTTTCTATAATTTTTTCCCTTTCCAAAATGTCATGTAAATAGAGTCATACGCTCTGTAGCCTCTTCCAACTGGCTACTTTCATGTAGCAATATGCACTTAATATTTTCTGATGTCTTTGCATGTCTTATAGGTCATTCTTTTTATTTATGAATAACATGTCATTGTAAGGCTGTGTCACAGTGTGTTTATCTATTCATCCATTAAAAGACATATCCCAGTTTGGGGTGATTACCAAATAAGCATCTATAAACATTTATGTATGGGGATTTGAGTGAACATATGTTCTCAAATCAGTTAGGAAAATACCCAGGAGCGTGCTTGCTGAATCTAAGGTGAGACTATGTTCAGTGTTTTTAAGAAGGTGACAAGCTATCTTCAAAAGGAAATCTTCTATTTCCTGAGTCCCTATATCCTTGAGAAGGCTTTTACTATGCCCTAATACTTGATTGATACTTTTTCTGATTAGGCAACTCTAG